GCGTGACGCGAGGCGCGAGGTGAATAATTACGAATGGCCCGTGGGGGGAAAACGTTTCCCGAATAGTCTATGAAATCCGAAACGCTTTCGAAATGTCACGATAAAATGGCAAACAACGCGGAACGTCCGGCACCGAAAACGTATACGCGAGGCCGTCAACGAAGAATGCGCTCATTTAGGTTTTGTGCGGCGCGCGAGAACTGAACGGGGAAAAAATAAAAGAGGTATAGCCACGTGTAGAAAATTGTCGGTACATGCTTCGGTGCTTTGTAAAATACAGCGAACGACCGTAACGGTGTAACCGCTTGCTCGATAATTATCGACGCGCTGAATTTGCCTATAGTTTTGCAACAGGGTCTTTTATCCGACCCTGTGTCCGTTGTGCTGTCGAGCAAAACGAGAAACACGGGTTTGGGAATCGTTCACGAATCATAGGACAAATATTGTATGCATATACATTACACATGCAATAGGACACCCTCGCTCGTTTAACGTTATACACAACTGGCAACAATTATTTACACGAATTTGTGCCATTAAATTCAAATTTTTGAAGCGCTGGTGTAAAACTGCGAAAAAATTTTACTAATTAAAATTCAAATTAATTTGTTCAATATTTTTATCCCAATATGTCACTTCTTTATCTCGATCAATCACTTTGACTGGCTGGCTTATCGCTCGGTTACATCGTTTCTCTTTCGTTCTCCATCCAGCTGCGTGAGCGCGACGAATGAGCATTCGTCGTTAGACGTCTGAATGAATCATTGTGCCGAAAATCGCAGGCGTTTAATCGTCAAAGCGACTAACCGCGCGCGTGCGACATAAGGGTGGATCCTGGATTCAGTGGATCCTGCGCGGAGGATTTTCGTCCCATTCGTACGGAAACCCAATTGCACGACTCTATGCGTCATTAGCGCTGGGAAACGGAGTTAACGCCGTTAAATCCGGGTTCGGTCCAGCCGCGATATTATTCGCACTTGCACCAACCGTTCATTCGTTCATTCGTTCGTACCGTACATACGTATTTACGGTCCTATGAGTCCCGCAAACCGCGTCGCCGCTGCGCGAAATGACGATCTCACGTGCGAAATGCGAATAAATGATCGTTCGCCTACTAACTCGATTTCCGTTGACGAACTGCGTACATTTTTTTTCGCCTGCATTGGCCGTCTCTCATTCCGATCACCATTTGCCTCTTCTCTCGAGGCCTTTTCCGCAATGTTTCCATTCCGAATACTGATTTAACAATCATCGGAAAATTATCGTGAATCGTGAATTTTTATCGCGTGGCAAATTCAGCGACACGAAATCATTTTTGTTATGCAATATCATGGATTTTCGCAATACACACGTATATATGTATCTAGAATTTGATACCTAAAATTTCTATTTTTATTCTCGTCAACGAATTCAATTCATGACGAATATGAAAAAATGACATCGTATTTTTGCAACAACGATTTGGAAAAATTTCGATAATCAGGTTCGAATTTTATACGTCATGTGAAAGGGAGAGAGAGAGAGAGAGAGAGAGAGAGAACGAGATGAACTTGCCTTATTTCTCTCTTGAATTTACTAGCGAGAATTTTTATTTTTTTCTCAATGGAGTTTTCAATACCGAATCTCGTTGCTTTGTCAATATTTTCCAAACATTTATGGCTTCACAAATATTTTCGATATCTAATACATGAATAAAAATTGGATCGTTGGTTCGTGATACAAAATGAACTGCTATAAAAAGAGTATTTGAATGTTTTGGGATTGCACTCTACATCGCATTTACACGCATTTAAATAACTTTCCTGGATAATATAAACAAATAAATAATACGGTGAGCGCCATTAAATAAATTACACTTTGCATTCTATAAAAAAAACAATTTTATATTTATATTATTCGCATTTTTAAAATGTTTGTTTTATTATTGTACTGATTCAGTTAATTATTTTTTCGCTTAAATATATATATATATATATATCGTTCATTATATATATATATATATATATATATATATATACACTCGTATATATATACAACCTCGTATAAAACTATATATAAACATGCTATTATTCAATGTGCAAACTGCATTTATTTCTACACTTTGTGCACATAAGATGTGGCTGTCATATGCATAGAAAGCCCCTTTAACTCTCAAACGTGCTACAACGAATGAGTTAAATATGTCAAGATAATTTGTTTGCGGATATATATATATATATATATATATATATATATATGTATATATATATTGTTTACGCATCGCGAATTACAGTCATGCCTCTGCCACATTAACAAATTGCTTTCTCACTAATTGAAAGATTATATCAGCCGCGGATCATAGTCCGAGGATAAAAAGGATAGTTCGTTGAAGTAAATACAAATACCGCATAAAGTAATGCCGTTGTTTGCTTGGTGTTTCAGTTGTGCGTTTACAATTAATTAATTTGTCCGCTGCATGTGCTGTAATTAGCGTAAGTGCCCGTGTCCAAATCCAAAATGCGCCGACGAAGTAAATTCGAAATAATGCAACTAGCGTGACGTCACAATAATTCTCGTCGTTTCGGTTCATTTCGCGACGAAGACTGACTCTGGTGAATGTTTGAAACTTGTACACATTACAGGACTCTCTCACAATGCGATATAATGTGTATCATGAACTTTTCCTGAGTATTTTATACTAATTTTCATTTTAAGTTTAATCTAATTTCTCTCTTTACGTGAAATTCGAAATTATCACTGGTATCATATTTGCTCATGTTTGCATAACGCAATATTCACGTTATTTTACGGCATTTTAAATCTCGTAATTTTCCTTAGATGCGGCACAAATTGTTACGTCTCTTTGTTCTCACTCCTTTACTAATCTTCGTTTATTAACTAGAATATATGTAAAAGCAACTTAAACGCAGCCAATGTAGAATATAAGTGAATTAAATATTGCAAGGAAATGCAATATAATAAATGCAAGTGAATTAAATATCACATACTATCCAATCAATAATATATAAAGCGCTCACGATAATATTATTCAACGCGGAAAATTCGTTACAAGTCTGCGAATGAAGATAATACGGAGATACCTTATTTGCATAAAATTGCAATTCCTCGATATTCTAAAATTTTAAGAAAGTTGTCATGTGAGACAAATAGAAGCGCCTTAAAATAAAATGCGCCTTACGTCATTTTCGCAGTGCTCGACTTGCGTATAGTACAATAACGACAAATCCAGCTGACTCGCCAAGTTGTTCACAATCGAATAATGAAAGAGACTGACGCTTTTGTATATAAGAAACTATCATTCGCATTTTCAATACCAACCGCGTCTCTCATCTCCAAGACGGTGGGGACACGATGAGGCTTTAAGTAATATCGATATCGACATGAAAAGGCGAGTACGGAAGAAGGAGAAAAACGCACGAAAGCGTGACAGAAACGAGCGAATGCATTGATATTGAATTGAAAATGGATCTCGAGGAAAAGGAAGTCGGAAGGAAGGAGAAGGAAGGAGCAATGAGGAAAGATGAGAGAGACGGAAGTCTCATCGCTCGACGATGCGGCGAAAATATACAATTCGCGATCCGTACATAAACATTCTTCACGTTCTCTCTCTCTCTCTCTCTCTCTCTCTCTCTCTCTCTCTCTCTCTCGCCTGTCCTCTGCTTTTTTCTTCCCCTTTGCTTATCCGTCATTTATAGATTACGAGAGCTTGAAAATGCCGTTATCGCGAAACCTCTTCGAGACGATTACGCGCGACGTTTTATTAATTTTTTTTTTCTTCGGTGCTTCCTCTCTCTTCCCCCTTTCCGGCCAAATCAATTTTCTCTACATCCGGTTCGATTTCTGCCTCAACGAAATGCTTTTTCCTCATTCTTTTGGTGCATTTAACTTACTCTCTTTTCGTCGACCGCGATAATAGAACGCGCACCCGCTCGGGGGACGGTGTAATGCTTTTTATTAAGTTTCCTCGATAAACGTACCACTTGACTGTCGCGGATACGACTTGGCGACTCGAGTCTTCGGGGAATTTTCCTTTACGGCGAGCTGCTCGCGAGAACGTTTAGAGAGATACGGGATTATTAATTTTATGAAAACTCAAAGGAAAAAGGAAATTTAAACGAAATCTACTCGAGGTTTTAAAAGAGACATAGAGAAGAACGTTTTTCTTTTTCTAACTACGGTTTACTTTTACTTCTGATGAAGTTACAATATAAATTAATGCGATACGTAATATAGCTAGACGATGTAAAAAAATTGCTCTTTAAAAATATATTTTAAAGGAAGCGAATGCATATATTTCAGATAATATTTAAATAAAAATGTATACAATTTTTTTCCTAAAGCCGATTGCAATTTCTACATCAGCGCGACGCAATGTAATTAAAACGAAATTCTTGCGCGTATAAGTATTTGTCTCTCCCTTGAATTTCGCCGAATGTGTTTACTATTCGTACACGAGAGTTTCAGATATTCCATTACGACTTGTATTTCGAGGTAAATATAAAAATGCTTTCCGCTCCCTTCTTCGTGTATGTATTTTACTCTTGCGTGCATAAATCACAGAAAAGAATCTCGACACATATGTATAACTCTACCAAATTAGGTTCAAGTATACAAATTTGAACATGTTTCATTTTATCTGGAATCGTGCATGAGATTTTGTTCAACGGGATTAAATAATAAAAGCGATAAATATTAAAGAATATTTTGATGAGACCGAAATAAATATTCATGTATCTTTCACTCTACGAATGCTGATGGTTGATTTTAAATCACAAACATAATTATGAATATATCTCGAATTAAATATGATTACTATATTAGATATTTTTTGCTGTCGAAAACAAAATCAGCGAGGGAAAAGCAATCGGAATTAATAAATTTATTACAAGACATGTGTACATTGGAAAAGAAATATGCACCTCAATATTCGAGCATACGATCTAATTTGTTGAACATTTACATATCGCCATGACTGACATGATTTTTTTCGTTTGCCGCAGGCATTTCTGGAAATGGCGGACGAGAATGCTGCAGCGACCATGGTGACCTATTACGCTTCCGGTATAGCCCAGCTCAGAGGCAGAGCGGTCTACGTGCAGTTCAGCAATCACCGTGAACTCAAGACGGATCAAACGCACTCTAACAACGCGGTCAGTAGCCCAACAAATGATGTCGCCAACACTTCTGAGGTCTGTGTCATACTTCTTGCTTCACTTCTTTCTCGCTTCACTAACCTCGGGGGGAGAGGGTTGGGTGCAGCTGCATGAAAACTACGCTCGCTCGACTAACTTTCAACCTTTCTCTAACGCACGCTCGCTTTCTTCCTCTTTTTCTCGCGTACGGCATATATGTATAAAAATATTTCGAAATCTGAAAAATTGCTAAACAGTTACGTCAAAATTATCTTTGAAATGATTTCGTCTAAATAATATTGATGTTTTAATAACGATACAAACATCTTTACGTTCTCAAGAGGAGAGACACTATGCGAGAGTATATACTATATCGCCACGTATGTTACGTCAACGATAGTGATTTCGATGCCTCGAGGCGTTGACCGAAAGTGGCAAGCGTGAGACAGGGATTCGTGTCGGTCCCGGTACAATGGATGTTAACTGCGTCGGTCGGGCGTAGATCGGCGAATCTAACCGCGCTTCGGTAACGTGTTATTTATGCAGGCTAGTTAATTAAGCCGCAGGTCCCTTACACATATCCTTGCCCAACTATCGAGGCAACATTCGACGCACGACGCGACAATGTGAGGGAAAGAGAGACATAACCGGGGGGGGGGGGGGGAGAAATGCGACGGCCATTTCGCCGTCAAGTCAATCTAAACACACATTCGCGTCCGCAAACTCCGTTATAATTAATGTGTCCATAATTTATGAACGATCCCTTGGGCGTGAGCGCCGGCAGTGCATCCCGGCTACGTACCCCTCCAGCCACTCCACCCCTTCTTCCTCCTTGTCCTCACTTGACGTTCACCGTCTGTCACGCATACCACTCGAAACTTGCGCGTGTCATCGTGCGCCGTCGGTCATCATTGGAACTAGTTAATTCGCTACGCAATTCGTAGCCGTGCGGTCGATTCCAATGAAATTTGTCGACGAATTAATTAGCATGCTAATTCGCCGGCGAATCAATTAACGGAATTCGATCGGAGCAACGCGCGGGGCGTTGAGTGAAAAAGCGTTATTGCCCTCGCATCATCGCGATATCTTTCCCTCCCTCTTAAACGGCTTTCATCAAGTAATTTCGTTCAACATCGCTTTGTATGTCTGAAGCGTTTCCATTCCTATATCCAGCACACGCGTCATTGTCTCCTCGCGAGAGAATCGAGCGATATTATCATTAACCATCCCCGCCGACGTCGTAATTTCGTAAGTTTTTCGATGCCACCGCGTGTCGATTCATCTCCCCTGTCCCCCGACTTACCAAACTGTCGGTTCTCGGGGGACGTAACTTCGCAGTGGAAACGGACACCGATTCCACGGGGAATCCACCGGGAAAGTTTCGCGTGTGTATCGGCGGGGATCTGCACGAAAAATAATAAATAAGGGAGTAAATGGCACACGGCGACGTGCGTCGTCGTCGATGTTCTTTCTTGACACGCGGAAAGTTTTCGCACACGTGACCGTGGAAACTTCACAATCTACAGGGTTTATGGAACCGCATGACGCGCCACGATTTCGTCGAGAAAATTCGCAACTCCCCGTAGAAAATTCCCGCACGCAAGTCTCACGTTATCCCCTGCACATGCGTGTCGCGACGTCGTTTCGTTAAGAGCGGATGCTATCGTAAAACAAGCGGAATAGAAAGAATTTAAAATAGTTTTTTTCCACGTATAGTTTTTACGATATATACTTGTTTCATGCGCGGGCAAGATTTTATTTCCGGCGAGAGTTTGAAATTGTTTCCAACTTTCTTGGTGAAAGAAATTTAATTTGTATCGTTTATTTTCAAGATCTCTCCACATTAAATACATCTGAAAATAAATTTTACCCGAGATAATATTCACTTTAAACGCGTTGAAGCATTTAAGTATATTTGCTAAATTTAATTTGCCGTTGCTTGCTCATTCTCTCAATATTAAATGATTCGTCGATTTAGCTTCAATTTAAATATTTAATAAAAGAAAATCAATTGCACGAGTTACGTTGGAAATTAATTTCTCTCACAATTTGTGTATATCTCTAGATATTCTTATATTTGTACATATTCCTTTAAGTGTTGTCGAAATAATATTAAAAGATAAGACTATCGAAATAACGTGAAACTTTTTAATTATGATAGTAAATTTTTCTCGAGATAAAATCGGATAGATATTTCAACGTGTGGAAAAAATATTATTTCTATATTGGTAATTTATTCAAGAATAGAAGCTCTCAAACTCTTGAATTTTAATCTTGCACATAAATTTAATATCTGTTTTTCGTTTCTTGGTTAAGCGGAAAGTTACAATTCATAAAAAATACATACCTGAAGATATTTTATCAAACTATAATTTTACCCATAATCTATTTTTGTGCAATTTTAATATCACTTTTAACTTGAAATATTTTATTCGTTAATAATTGCTAACTACAGAAGCTTGTATTAATTAAATTGAATCACTCGTGCGAAAGCGACATTAAAATTATCCTTGCAAATTATCCTTTTCCTCGTGAGTGCAATGGCATTTCTATGAGGTAGACTCAAAGATGGCTGACGGAGGAAGATTTTCAGTTTCTCGGCGAGTTCGTTCCCTCTATGCTCGAATGATTTCTCACCGTGCGTCCGGGCTGACAAACGATGCCGAAAAAGCAATCGCCGTGAAAGCCTCGGCGATGCATCGCTCGTACAGTTCGCGACGTGGGCGACGATGATGCCGGAAATTTTGCGGGCCGAACGCAAGACGAATGTCGCGCATCTAAGCGATGTGCTCTCCTCCCGAGGACTCGCTCCTCGGAGAAAAGAAATCAATTTTACATGAACGAGGAAACATACACAAATCCGCGACGATGTCAGCCGCACCTTTTACTCGCGATTAAAATATCGTCGCGCATCTCTCCGATGAAGGATGTCTGATTTATGCGAGTCGTGCCGGAGCAGCGTCTTTATGTAAGTTAACGAGATTTATGCAATTTAAATCTGATAAAGTTCTCAATAGTCTAACATTTTCAACTTGCTTTCCGTTTGTGTTTCCTCTTTATTTTAATTTCTGTTTTTCTTTGTATATGAAAATTTGAATCTTGCTTTTTCTTGTTGATTACATAAGCGTCCCCAAAAAGCTTCTCGCGTGATATCGATTACTCAAGATATAATAATAGAATTATATTTGGATCGGGCGGAAAATAAATCGGTGAGGCCGCGAAAATGAGGAAAATTCGAATTCTTGGTGAAAGAGCCCGAAAAAGCGAATATATTTATGGCACACGAAGTTAATGCAATCGTCTCCTCGCCTTTCCCCTGGGAGTAATGTGTCAGTTAAGTAAACGCTCGACCAGCGAACTCATTTAATAAAGAAACCGCGCGCCACGGCAGCCTGGCATTGTTTAGTAATTAATTTAGAGCTCAGCTTAACCGACTCCGGAACACGTAGCCACGGTGTTTACAGCAGGAGAATGGACGAGATAAAGATAGATATTTTTCGGATAATGAGTTATAAACGAGGGGAGACGTTACAATGTATAAGTGGGACCCAAAAATGAATTATTATCAAGATGGATCTAATTAAAATTAGACTAAATCATTAAAATAGACGCTGGGAGTAATCAGACGTTTTTAATTACGCGCGCTTAAAATATATATAATAACATGATTGAAATAATATCGATATATACATTTTAATTCCTAGAAATTACTGAAATTATATGACGAAATTGAAGATACGTTTTAATAATAATATACACATATGTAAAGATTAAATTCTACATCGCTTGTGGTACATTTTTACATAAAAAAAATTAATTTTTCAGACAAAAAAAAATGGCAACTGTTAATGCAAAGTATATATGTAAGCATTGTTATTACATATATAATTTATTTTAATATATTTGTATTTTTTATTTATTTTTTATATTTTTTATATTTTTTATTTATATAATTTTTTATTTAGATAATTTATTTTACACTTATATATATCCAAATAGATCTTTTTGACGGAAAAATTTTAACGGCATCGTCGGGTTCAACTCTCCCGTACTTTTTTCTAGTTTCCTCGAGTTCGAAGAGTTTTCTGTTGCAATCCGGAAACCCGTGCCCGGAATTAAGATATATTTTTACGTGGCTTCTCGCTGCAGCGTAACGTCCTCCTCTCCTTCTCTTTTATTTAGTTAATTTGGATTAATTTAGATATTTCCGACTGTACGCTTTCACATGGTTGCTTTTATTGCCGTTATTCTCGTTTAAATGATTTCACTTTTGTACTCGAGACGGGATTTAATTTGGACGCACGCACAAATACCTTGGCAGCTAACGGAGCATTTTATATTAATACATCTATATATATTATATTTATAAGTAAAAGAAAGGAGGAAAAGTAGTCGTGAAGAATCTTACAAATTAAAAAAAAAACAAGTTCATTTCTATTTTTGAGGAAATTGAGACATATTTTTGTCGGATCAAATCGTGACGTTTTTAACCTGCAGTTTATTACATTTATTTACGATACATTTAATTAGATATTATTTATACGATATATACGATGTTAGTTCTCCAAAAATATAAAAAGCATTCGGGAGTTTTTAATTGGAACAAGCACACAACATATAAACCTATATTTTACATTGTAACTTTATCTCTACGCTAATTGGTATTTATTCTGCATCTTTACATGTTATTTTGCATCAAATGTACCAGTCATATTACAAAGCTTTCGGATGCAAGTTAATTTCTGAAATTTTCGAGTTAAAAAAATCTCTATGAAATATGGAATTAAAAATTAATCTTTACTTTATTATAATTTAGATTTAATTAAATTTTTGAAATAAAATCGCGAAAAGTGTCAATCTTTATTTCGAGATTTGCTTTACTACTTTCGAAAAATCAACAAAATATTTCGCAGTTGAAAAATTAATACACATCACTTATTCCGAGTATTTTTAAAATATTTAGAATTGATTTTTCATAGTATCAAAATAACTCGTGTGTGTATCTTTTGTTTTTGACACGCGTGCAATAATAACGAATAGCCAAGCTCGAAAATGTT